AGCATGTGTGTTACTGTTACATGAGAAACTATCTGTTCTGTAAGCCTTCACCTGAAGTACAATAAAATATTAAAAAAAAAAAAAAAAAAATTTTGATCTACATCCTTCTCCAGCTCTGTCCAGAACCCTCTGTTGTGATTCTGGTCAGAGCAGTCAGTGGTGGTAGCTGGGCACCATCTAGCTGTACTAGACTCAGTCTGCATGGTGCTATTTTTAATACAAAAAAGCAAGTCAAGAAGAGCGTTAGTTTTTAGGTGGGACAGTATGGACATGCTGAGTTATCCAAAGTGGAAATATTCAGCAGGCTGGCAAAAGCGGAATCAGGAAAGGCCACGGTTATCAGGGGAGATAAAGGACTCATCTACAAAGAACAGCACCAGAAGCTGTGGCCAGCAGCAGAGAACCCTGCTCTGAACCTACTGGCTTGACTCTGTGGCCTAGAACTGCTACCAGCTATTTCTCCTGGGTGACATAGGTTAAAGCAGACCCAGGATTTTTAGAATAAACCCACAGGATTCTGCTCCTTAACTACTGCAGCTGCAAAACTATCCCCCTCACAATGATGACATGTTGTGGGGTTGTCAACCATTGTCACAGGGCAATATGTGTGCTGACTGTTTAATGAGAAACTATTTTGTTCTGTAAACCTTCATCTAAACGACAAAAGAAAAAAAAGAATTATCTACGTGAGATCAAACTGACAACAGCAACTCAAAAGGTTTGATGGCAAGCCTAGGGGACAAGTGAGTTGAAGACAATGGTGACGGAATAATTTGGAAAACGACAGTGAGAATAGCAGCACAACTGGAAGAATGTAATCGATGTCACCGAATTGTACATGTAGTGATTTTTGAAACAGTTATCTTTGGCTATGTGTATTTTCACCAAAAAAAAAAAAAGGTCCTCCAAGGTCGACAAGGGAGACTGTTGACATGTCATGGGGTTGTTAACCAATGTCATAAAACAATATGTGTACTGACTGTTTAATGAGAAACTGTTCTGTAAACCTTTACCTGAAGTACAATAAAAAAAAAAATTAAAAAAAAAAAAAAAACTATCTCCCTCACCCAGCAGAGACTTCTATATTAAGGTTCTTAACCCAAGAACCACCAAGAAACCATGCTAGATACTGGAGAACAGAAGCTCACCCAATGTTTAAGAAAGAACTCATCCGCCATGTCCAGCATAAAGAAATACCCAATACCAACTCAGCCAGAAATTAATGCTCTCTTTTATAAAATTTTTTTTTTCTTTTCAGGTAGCTGTGTCTGAATGAAAGAAGCACTGGTGACACAATGGTTAAAGCACTCAGCTGCTAACCAAAAGGTCAGCAGTTTGAACCCACCAGCCCCTCCGTGGGAGAAACATGTGACCGTGTGCTTCCATAAAGATTTGCAGCTTTGGAAACACTATGGGGCAGTTCCACTTTGTCCTACAGGGTGACTGTGAGTTGGAATCGACCTGAAAGCAGTGGATTTGGTTTGGTTTTGGGTGTTTGGATAAAGAAATATTTAAGATTAGTTTTAAAAAAAATTATTTTAAGCCTGGTTGGGTAAAAAGGTGCAACTCTGAAGAACATGCACAAAGCTGGCTTACTGGAAGGTACTCCTGTCAACCAATCAGTACAGAGCTGAAAACTCTGGCACTCTGCTGTGCAGTCTAACAGGAGCCACTGTTAACTCTCACATGTGGACTCTCTCTCATGACCAGTCTACATTCACGTTTTTAGTGTTCTAACAGCAGCAAAGGCGTGGGCTGACACACAGGCCCCTCAGGCCACAGCAGCCAGGGCCACCTCTGCCTGAGCCGTCTCCACCACTGGCCCTCGTGTGCTGCACAGTTCTTTCCTATGTGGCACATACTAGATAAGAGCACTTCTGGGACTCCAAAGGGACAAAACTTCACCTGCACAAATTAATATAAGTTCAATTTAAAGAGCACTTACAAACATACATCTGACAAGTTGTACTGAATTGTACATACAAAATATTTTCAAGATGAAAAAAACCTGCTTTTAAAATTATTTCACAGAATAAATTGAAATATCGTTGAAAACTCTTACCTGCTTCTTTGGCAATGGAACACTATAAGGTGCAGAACCAAGAACCATCTCAAAGAGCTTGTCTGAGTAAGGTATTGTTTTCTCTACACTTTCCCGGAAATGGGAGTCCAATTTGGCATACAGGATAGTGCCACCAACACCTCCACCAACAAACAGAAGGCCAGCTCCAACAATTTTGCCAGCAGTCAATCTAAGTGAAAGAAACAGGAAACACATTTACATTTCTTGCCTCTCGTCTAGCTATTTCCCCAGGCCAATGTAAGAGGCTCAAAGACCTCTAACGCTACTTCCCTACCGCTGGTTCAGATGCAGCAGCCAATTTTATTACCACAGCTACACATCATCCTTCCCTGATTCAACAAGTCTGCAAAAGAAAATACAAAACACAAAAACCCACTGCCGTCGAGTCGATTCCAACTCACAGCATCCTTATAGGACAGAGCAGAACTGCCCCACAGGGTTTCCAAGGAGCTCCTGGTGGATTCTAACTGCCGACCTTTTGGTTAGCAGTTAAACTCTTAACCACTACGCCACCAGGGTTTCCACAATAGAAAATAGTATTTACTAATAACCCATTGCCAGAGTTAATTTCAACTCATAGCTATACTACAGGACAGGGTAGAACTGCCCTCATAGAGAGTTTGCAAGGCTGTAATCTTTACAGAAGCGGACTGCCACATCTTTCTCCTGCGGAGCAGGTGGTGGGTTTGAACTGCCAACCTTTGGGTTAGCAGCCGAGCACTTAAACACTGAGCCACCAGGGCTCCTTATCTTTTAATAACTACAGTTTTTAAAAAATAGTAATATCTAGACTAGAAATAATAAAGCAATCTATCCTTTAATACTTAAAACTCAGATGTTCACGATCATGAGATTTCCTCTGAACCCAAAAAGAACTATCACTAACTTTCAAAGTGCCTCTCCCTTAATTAAACATTTCTGAAAATATAATATACCCTTTACAAAAACAAGATAATACAAATATCAAATAAAATTTTAAAATATTTTTAAGTCATGACTTGCTGAGTTCTAAATACAAATCTATTTGGGGTAGAATGCATGACAGCACAGGAGGGGGTCTGCTGTGGATGCCATTCCACTACCAAAGAACCAAGAGGATCATCACACTACATTTTCACCCACATACAAATAAGGCTCCAGAGGGCACCCCAAAGATATTACAGCAAAGCTCCACTGCAGGTACCCTTTCTAAAAAAATTGGGTTTTATGCAGCTATTCCCATATTCAAGGAAAATACACACACACAACAGCCCTTAGCAGCACATAGTTTAAGTCTAGTTACAGGGAGACATAACTACATACCCAGAACTGCCTGAAGTAGAGTATCTACGGCATGGTCGCAATGGACGAAGGACAAACTTCCCACAGAGACAACTCTAAAGAAGAAGGAAAAAACATTACTACCAATACAGTTAAAAGAACCTGGGAAGATTTTAGAGTTGGTAACTCAGAAATAATACTTTTATTACAAATGTTTTCATTACACAAAAAATTATTTTACTTTCAGAAATCAGTTTTTACCATGAAACATATTTGTGGACCCTTAAAAACACAGATATTTCCTGCAGCCTAAGGTTTATATAAAATTAGTTTTAAGAATTTAAGAAAAAAGATTATTGGACTATGATCAATTAGCACTTTTAAGTGTTACGTATGCTGTTTCTTGAACATAATTGGGATTTGCCATATGATTTCTTCATTGACAAGTAAAAATGAAACAGTAGTATAAAATTATTTATTTTTACTCTGTCAAGTTAATATGGACATCTGGAGTCCAGCTAAAAGCACTGCATTATAGGATACTTCCAAATCCACTTGGGGGAGATCCAACCATGGCTGAATTTCCAGAATACCAAGTTTTCCATCTCTATACTAATTATGTAACGAGTCAATTCCTAAAGGTTATTCATCTAAATCCAAAACTTCATTTTTTATTTTTGCTAGTTCATTAGACTAAAAGCAACACATTTTTCAAGATAAATTGTTTAACTAATGCTGGAAATGCCAAACTATACTTATCTCCATATAACTAATTGGTCTATTATCAACAGAAGCATATGAGCAGGTCAATTCTTTATTTCTTTTTACTGGGGAAAATATATATAACAAAATACGTCATTTCAACCACTGTTATGTGTACAGTTCGGTGACATTAATTACATTCACCATGTTATTGTTTTTTATAATTGTTGTAGTTTAAGTGAAAGTTTACAATTCAAGTTAGTGTCTCATACAAAAATTTATACATACATTGTTATGTGACCCTAATTGCTCACCCTATACTGTGACAGCACATTCCTCCTTTCCGCCCCTGATTTCCCATATCCATTCAACCAGCTCCTAACCCTCTCTGCCTTCTCATCTCACCTCCGGACAGAAGCTACCCATTTACTCTCATGTATCAACTTGCGCTAAGAAGCACACCCTTCTCGAGTATCATTTTATGTCCCACAGTCCAGTTCAATCTTTGTCTGAAGAGTTGGCCTCAGGAACTGTTTTAGTTCTGGGTTGACAGAGAGTCTGGGGGCCATGCTTTCTGGGGTTCCTCCAGTCTCAGTCAGACCATTAAGTCTAGAATTTGAGTTCTGCACCCCACTTTTCTCCTGCTCCATCAAGCACTCTCTGTTGTGTTCCCTGTCAGGACATTCAATGGTGGTAGCCGAGCACCATCTAGTTCTTCTGGTCTCAGGCTGGTTTATGTGGCCCCTTCTGTCTCTTGGGCTAATACTTTCCTTGTGTCTTTGGTGTTCTTCATTCTCCTCTACTCCAGGTGGGCTGGGACCAACTGATGCATCTTAGATGGCCGCTCAGTAGCTTTTAAGACCCCAGCCGCCACTCACCAAAGTAGGATGCAGAACATTTTCTTAATAAACCGTTATGCCAACTGACCTAGATGTCCCCTGAAAGCATGGTCCCCAGACCTCTGCCCCTGCTACTCCGTCCCTCAAAGTGTTTGACTGTATTCAGAAAACTTCTTAGCTTTGGTTTAGTCCAGTTGTGCTGACTTGCCCTGTAGTGTACATTCACCAGGTTATTAAACCATCACCATTATCATTTCTAAATGTCTTCATCACCCTTAACAGAAACTCAGTGCCCCTTGAACAACACCGCCTGCCTTTCCTCCCACCCCTGGAACCCTGGCGGCATAGTGGTTAAGAGCTATGGCTGTTAACCAAAGGGTCAGCAGTTCGAATCTACCAGCTGCTCCTTGGAAAGCCTATGGGGCAGTTCTGCTCTGTCCTATAGGGTCGTTATAAGTCAGAACTGACTCGATGGCAATGGGTTTTCTTCCTGCCCCTAGTAATCATGAATAAACTTTTGTCTCTATTTACCTATTGTAGATATTCCATATAAGTGGGATCATATAGTATTTGTACTTTTGTGTCTGATTTCACTGAGCATAATGGTTTCAAGTTCATCCATATTGTAGCACGTATCAGAATTTCATTTTTCTTTATGGCTGAGTAATATTCCATTGTGTGTGTGTGTGTCATATTTTGTTTATCTGTTCATCTGCTGATGGATACCTGGGTTGTTTCCACCTTTTGGCGACTGTAAATAATGCTGCAATGAACATCAGTATACCAGTATCTGCTGAAGTCCCTTCTTTCAAGTCTTTTGGGTATACACAGAGGAGTGGAACTGCTGGGTCATATGGTAATTCTATGCTTAACTTTTTGAGGAACTACCAAACTGTTTTCCACAGTGGCTGCACCATTTTATAATCCCATCAGTAATGGATGAGGGTTCCAATTTCTCCATACCCTCACCAACATTTGTTGTTTTTCATTCTTCTGATAATAGCCATCCTAGTGGGGATGAAGTGGTATCTCACTGTGGTTTGAAATGCATTTCCCCAATGACTAATGACATTGAGAATCTTTTCATGTGCTTATTGGCCATTTGTATATTCAAGTTCATTGCTCATTTTTTGATTGGGTTGTTTGTCTTTTTCTTGTTGAGCTGTAGGAGTAATTTATATATTCTGGATATTAAACCCTTTTCAATACATGGTTCTCAAATATTCTCTCCCATCATGTAGGTTGTCTCCTTACTTTGTTGATGAAGTCCTTTGATGCACAAAAGTTTTTAAATTTGACAAGGTCCAAGTTATTTAGTTTGTCTTTTCTTATGCATGCTTTTGATGTCATAACTTCATTTAGAAAATAATATTGGAATCATTATTCCCTGTCCTTGAGCATAGAGAATGTGACTCAGCTGGAGCTGGGCTCACAAGGACTCCCAAGGACACATCAACTGGGCTCTGAAGTATAAAGACTATAGCTAGGATAATCCTGGAAAATATCTTTTAGGGAACTTTTACATAAGCCAATCAAACAGAACACATAAGAGTTTCCACTCGTATCTTTTTAGTGAATAGAAAATTTGTTGGACCAATAGAGATCCTCCTGACTTTTGTTACTTAAACCTGTACCAAAGACTGTTAAGAAAGACAATTCAAAACGTAGGACCACAGTTTCTAGCCAATCTATGAAAAGGTGAAGCTTTCAATGGTTTTGCCCATTTGTAAAGTTAAAATATACTGATGACTCCCAGACATGGCTGTGGCAGCATACTTGTCCATTTTCCCACTTTTGTTTACTCTGTAATATTTTTTGGATTTGGGCAGACATGACTCTAGCAGCATGCTTGTCTGTTTTCCCACTTTTGTCTATTCTGTAATATTTCCCTGGACTTGGGCAGACATTAGCTCTAGCAGCATGGTTGTCCACTTCCCACTTTTGCCTTTTTGAATATACGCCAAATAAAACTTTCTTTCGCTTTACTAAACTTTGTGATGTCTTCACCCTTCAACAATCTAAAAATCCATTGTTGAAAACTAGGTCTCGAAGCAGTATCTCTAAGTTTTGTTCTAAGAGTTTTGTGGTTTTAGTTCTTGCATTTAAGTTGTTGATCAACTTTGAGATAATTTTCATTCATTGTGTGAGGTATGGATCCAGCTTCATTCTTTTGCATGTGATTTTGTGATTCATTCAACGTTTCCTTAAAATCTGTGAATTACTCAAACAAACAAGCATTTAAATATTATTTGGGGGATGTTCTGATAAACTAGCTTAAAACCATTCACATCTATTAATATGAAATTTCAAACTTACAGCATCCATAAATGAAATTTTTCCTTTCAATAATCAGAAAATCAAACTGCAACAAGGAAGGAAAAAAAAAGCTCTCTCTAGGCTCCTTGCTGAAATTGCATCTGAAGAATATAAAGGGAGAGGCAGGGCCAAGATGGCAAAGTAATCAGATGCTTCCTGTGGTCCCTCTTACAACAAAGACCCAAAAAAGAAGTGACTCAATTATGTATGACAATCTAGGAGCCCTGAACATCAAAGGCAAAGTTGAGGAATTGGACTGAGTGGTGGGGGAAGGGATAGACAGTTTGGAAGCAGCGAGGAGTTGTCAGATCTGACCCAGTGGGAGCCAGCGCCCTTCAGACCGAACTGGTTCGTGTTCATGGTGAGGCAAGCAGTAGCACTCGGGAGGCATTTTCCACATCGGGAGAGACCCAGTGGCAGAGAGTCTACTCAGGCATCCAGAACCAGTGAAAAGCAGCGCTCAATCAGCAAAAGATAAGTGCTTGCGTCTGACCTACTGCATAGATCAAAAAACACCCTCTTTGGGAAAAACTTCTCTTCCATTTACCTGCCCCCTCCCCGCTCTGCACCGGGTCCCAGGCTAACTTCAGCAATTGCCAAGTCCCCTGGGCCAGAAGTAGGACCCGTCACGCGCCCTAAGCCATTCTCCCGGCCTTGGAGAGGGAACAAATTAACAAACAGGGAAAAAATTATCTGTCGGCTTCGCTAAGCCAGGAACTCAGGGGAGGCACAGCTCCTTTGCCTAGGAACAGGCATACGGGGTCCACGGACTCTGAATGACTTTCATCCCTGCATAGACCTGTGTGGGCCCATATCAACAGCAGAGGGCCTGGCTACCACAGTACAACAGGGTATATACCTAAAGTCTAACTTCAATTGTTTCAGCTATATGATGAAGTGGCAGGTTCGTGACATTAGACACTGCTCTGCCCATTAAGCAGGGTCCTCACTACCCACATCAGTGGCCTGAGGACTAGTGGCTCCACCCACACCACCTAGCCAACCATGACAGCAGTCCAAGAAAAAGTGGTGCCCCTCAGTCCTTGCAGCCAAAAGCAATGGGTGCTCATGGTCCAGCTGCAAAACCCACTCCTCTATGTGCTCCAGGGAACAGGGACGTGCTTTTCTCTCACTCACTCAGGCAGACTCAGCCCACTGCCTTACTCAGCATGTGACCCCCTACTGTAGCCAGATACTTGTGCCCACACCAATCATCCCTGCCTGTCTAAGACTGTAAGCGAGAGCCTGCACCACACACT